GTTTATTAGCTATGTAAATATGACATTTCCCCGCATTCCCTCCAACCACTCTGGAAAATAATTTGATTAGAAGGCAGCTACCGGCACAAATATTATATAATGGAATGCTGGTTGAAATCAGCAGTCCCTTTCTACATCTGTAGATGGCTGAAAAATGTATTTGGAGTGAGGGCTTCCCTCCCATCACAAAACATCTTGCTTCCTATCCTGCCCCTTTAAGAGCACAAGCAGATACTGTTTTGGTTGCATTTTTCTCCGAACTTGAACTTTGTAGATTTGTGGTGGTGCCTGGCAGTCCACTGTGGAAAGCCATAATCCAAACACAATATGGTAAAACACCACAGGCTGGCATAGGATTGAGACAAGATTGTATGTTCTTACATTGTTTATATACTGAATACATATTGAGGGAGGCTAAATTGAAAGAAGATAATGTGAACTTTTAAATTGGAGGAAGCAAAAATGGTCTTTGAAGAAACAGATTAGAAAGATTATTAATGCTTTTCAACTTTACCGTTGAAGAAGACTCCTCTAAGTATAGCAGGGATAGCCAGAAAACAAACAAGTGGATCATAATCCAAATAACAAGGCTCAAATTATCATCTAGATCTAGTATGCTAAAACCAGGCCCCTTGAGAAGTTCATAATACTGGGAAAGGTAGAAAGAAAAATCTGTCTCAGGTTGCAGTTTATAGAATTTGGAATTATGTAATTAATGTAATTATGTAACCTGCCTGCTGTATTAGATACTGAGGGGCAATTTTTTTCCTGTTTGCTTTATTTTTACATATGTAATACTTAAAACAGATGCACAGTGATATTCAAATTTTAAAATATGCTTCACTTATGCTTACTTTTTCCTCAAATTAACACCTAGTCTGAAAATACCAAGAATACCAAGATTAGGGTATACAATTCTAATCTTAGCCCTTTGATATTGCACAGGTTTTAACAGCAGTCAGTTTCCAGTAAAATTTCCCTGTCTTTTGAGAATTGCCTAGTTTTGGTTCTGCATTTTGGACTGTTCCTAGAGTGAATGATTATAGGTTTCTGTTCTACATATTTCTGTGGCATAAGTTTCTCCAAAACTGTGTGATAGAAGTACTGTAATACCTATATTGCTGTTTCTTATATTTCTGCAAAACCTTAACATTTCTATTTGGAATTAATATGAACACCAGTTTATCTAAACATAGGTTCATTCTATAATCATAGTTAAAATTAATTTGTATTCCAGTTAATGTATTTTAGGTTGTCCTTGACTTACAACCACAATTGAATCCAAATTTTTTGTTGCTAAGTGAGATAGCTGTAAAGTGAGTTTTGACCCATTTTATGACCTTTGTTGCTATAGTAATTAAGTGTATTACTGTAATTGCTAAGTTAGTAACATGGTTGTTAAGTGAATCTAGTTTCCCCATTGACTTTCCTTGTCAGAAGGTCACAAAGAGCATAGACCCTAGGACACTGCAAACATCATAAATACAAACCAGTTGCCAAGCATCTAATTTTTGATCAAATAACCATGGGGATGCTGCAGCAGTCATTAATGTGAAAAATTATCATTTTTTTAGTGCCATTGTAACAAAATGAATGGTTGCAGGTAGAAGATTACCTGTAACATTTATTTACACATCATTTATACACTCTCTTATTCTCTCTTATTCTCTCTACAAAATAAAAGAGTTGTCACTGTTTTCTCAATCGTAGCAAGATTGGCAATGTCTGGAATGTCCATTCCATAGAGATGGAGTAGTCATCCAAACATTTCCAGATCGCACACTTCTGGTGGGGTAACTCAGAACATTAGTTCCTGGATCAAATATACAGGGTGGTCAGATTCAGTTGGAAGGATGTGGTCATGAAGATATCTAGAAGTCAAACTACATAGGACTTATTCAATAAAACAGCACTTAAAATTGTTCTTGAAAACCTATATAATGTAAATGTTAAAATTGGTATATAAGTAACATACAAAACTAAATGTAAAAGTGTTCATGCAGTATTCAACATTTATATGAAGCCACTTGGGATGCTTTTTGGCAGATTTAGAACTAGATACAGATATGTTGACAATACCTAATGATAAGTCCCTTTTCTGCAAAGTCAGCATTGGATTCCTCCAGGCTTCTGCGTGTCTCCAGCTTATAAAGGACAGGATATGAGATAATAAGCTGAAACTGAATCAAGATGGAACTGTTACTGATTCTAAGGGATGGACCTCAAACCCATAGAGCAAGCTACTAATAAATCACTCAAATTACATATTTTAATCAGACAATGGAACACAAAAATTAAGTTTACCAATATTTACATCATTGTGGTATGTACTTTTTTCAACAAGGTTGGATCAGTAACAAGAAAACTTCATTGTGATACTTTAATGAGCTAAATATATCAAAAGACTAGGCATTATTCAATCCCGTAATTGGTTTTTTTAATACAAACAACCCCCACCCACCCCAGTCCTAGTATAATATACTAATTCTCCACAAGTTAGCTTCTAAGACAGTCTACATTATCAAAATGTTTTAATTAGATTTTGGTATCCACAATGACAATGGAAGGTTTTCAGAGATTATAATAGGATATTTTCTTTCTCTATACCTGTATTCTCTTTATGGCTTGATTTATACAATACAGACCCATATGTAACATAAAAAAGGGGGAAACCACTATATTGCTATGAGGCATTTTATTTTCTAATATATTTGTGACAGTGGTCTGGTGATACTCAAGTAAGAGCTATTTCTGTAGTTTTGATGTCTTAGTAGGTATTTGAATTGGGGAAGTGAAACTGAAAAAAGGCAATTTTGTAATAGTGCATACATGGGCTACAGCAAATGGCCATGAATACCTGATGCTCCCACAACTGGCTCTAAAATGCAAAGATCTGTGTTGGGAGCAGGCAGATCTTTGGCTTTTCTCAGCAAAGTTAGTCTAGCTATAATGTAGATGAGAAATACTTTAAAAATAAATGGGCCTACACAATTCAGAATCAGGATGGAATTTTAGAGCTAATTTTATTGTTAAAAGGTAAAACGATAAACAAGAATATTCTACTACTCTTGGTAGTAAAGGAAACCAGAATTAGCCTGCAAAAATAGATCTTGTTAAAACTCAGTTTGAGATCCCCAAGACAAGTTATCAATAATGTCATACCCCAAATTCATTGCTCCTTTATACAGTCTAAGAAGATAAAACTTGAAATGGCTTAAGTTAGAGTGAAAATCAAAGTTTTTTCTCTTTGTACAACTCATCTGGAATATACCATAGCTACACAGGAAAGTAACATCAGAGCTTTGTATATTTTGCTGCGTTCATTGCCAAGAACTAAACTGCGAAGAATGTGTTTATGATTATAACGTGCAGTGCAAGGCAGTGCAGTGGTTAGAGAGTGGGACTGGGATTTGAAAAATCCACAATTCAAGTTATCTCTTGAATAAGACAGTAACAGTGCAACTTTATACTTGTCACTTTTCATCAATCCCAATAGCCTAACAAATTTGCTGTGTGTAAATAATGGTGGCTACTTGTACTGTATTAACATGAGCTCTTTAGAAAAGACAGATAAGAGTTGCTTTAGGAACACTGGCCACCAAAACATTTTAATATATTTAAAAATATGTATATTTGACAGAGGCAATTTGAATCTTAATAGAAGAAAAGGGCACACAGGTGAATTTGTGTGAATAGAAAAATAGCCGATATGCATGAATTAAAGCACCATTGTTGAGGTTTATTCTCCCATAGTAGGCACAATAATGCTAATGCATGTTAAAGGGCAATAGAATTTCTTCAATTAGGTTTCTTATGCCAAAGAATTCTAAAAAAGAGCAGATAAAGAAGCAATATGCCCAAGGATGTTATGCTTTGTGTGGTCATTCTCATTTTATGCCTAGGAGAATCAGCACAATACGATAGATTTCTCTGATAACCTCTTCCATTGAACATCAAGTTTCTGAGTCTGTATCATTCCAATAACATAGCTTTATATTTCCACAATTATATTAGAATATATTAGTGTTCACACTTAAATATATTGAACTAAAGTGGGACTTACTTCTGAATAAATATCTATGCAATTTCTCTATTATTATTTGACAAAGGATACTATACTAAGACAATCCTTCTCATAAAATTATTTTCTGAATAACTATAGTAAAACATTTTTTCTCTTGCAGTCATTAATTTGTCATGGCTTTGACCATAGTTTTCAGAACATCATGCAATTATATCTTGCAATGTTATGGAAAGGTTGAAAATCACCCTTTCACAAAAACCTGCTCAGGATCAGACAATCATTCATTTCAGCTAAGACGTAAGCTACATTTAATTCAGAATATTCATAACCTACAAGCAAACTAGCCTTTCAATGGTTAAACTAAGCTAAAGAAGCAAGTAATTCTGCACAGAAATGAATGAAAAGCCTGCCTCCTTATCATGCAAATGTGTTTCACTGACTAGGCCTTTGTTATAAAACAAATCTTATGAAGAGTATCATTTATGCAAATTCATATAAATTCATAGTGTTATGGCAATGTGAAATAGAAAAATTGTCTACTTTAACTATTTGTCGGAACTAGAAGTGGGAGTTAGGAGTCTTCCTAGTATATAATAAAAGTATTAATCAATTTAATCCTTCAGTCTCCACTGCTGATGATTACACAGACATATCCAAGTTGTTTTCTAGGCAATAATTCAGAAGTCGTTTGCTTTTGCCTTCTTCCAGGGTATCCAGGAAAAAAGAACATCCATGGGAGTTTCTGTAAGTTTCCCATTGAAATATTAATTTATGTAATTATATATTAATATCAACAGGGTCATAGTCTGCTTAGCTTTTTGGGACTAGCGAAGTTTCCTATGTGTAATACATTGTGGTATAAAGCAGCACTCAATAGATTTACTAAAAATGTATCGAGGATTCAATGATCTCTCTCTCCCTCCCTCCCCCCCCCTTTCTCTCTCTCTCTCACACACACACAGACCTCATTTTTATGTTTGAGTGATTGCTTCAGTGAAATATTTGGGTTAATATTTCATATTAAGCCACAGTTTAACTAACTGTAAGTAATAAGTAATAATATGTTAGGATCCCACATACTGCAATATCACAAGCTATGTTACAGTCTAGAATGGCTATTGAAATAAATCCAAAATTATAGCAAACATTTTCTTATAAACAATTAGAATGGTCTCACAAGGTTTTATGGAGAGTCCAAACAACTACTACTGTTAAGGCTTGGAATCTTGAAGGATTCCAAATCCACCTTTTTTTGTTTTCTTTTTTGACTTAATGGAAGAGGATTAAATTCCATTGGACTAAACCAGACTATGAAATTAAAAAAAATCTGAAAAGAAGGCATCGGCAAACCACTTCTATACTATTTTTTTGAAAAGAAAAATACATTACTCTTAACTCAGAGGAGACTTGACATTTATCTAAGCTAGGAACAAATAATCAAGGGACTTATTCTTTGATTAAGTTTGTTAATTTAAGTAGTTATTATATACAACATAATTATGCTTACTCCAAAAAAAGCATGTATATTGTACTTTGTAGAACTCGATATGTGGCAGTTAATTTCTCCAGGTTGCTATAACCAAAAACCTATTTGGAAGGAGTGAAAACATTCTATGGATGAATTTACAGACAACTTTTCTGTATTGTGATGATCTCTTCTGTCCCATTCGTGATCAGATTTTAATCCTTTGTTAATTCAAGAAGAATTTTCAGTGGATTTTTGCTGTTGTGGCTCCAATTCAATAAAATATCCTTCCTAAGGAGATTTTTAATGCATGGAACTTTAGTTTTACTGATTAAACTTTGATTCTTAATTTAGTGTTTGGTGATTAAGAATTGTTTGAATTAAGCAATAAATTATATAACACGAGCTACAAATTTTATTCCATTTTTAATATTTCTGTGATATATTTTATGATAAGGAAAGGCCATAACTCCATAACAGAGCAGACACTCTTCATGTAAATTCTGGGTTCAATCCTTGTCTTCTTCAGGATTGGATGGGAAGAATTCCTGCTTCAACACCTAGGAAGCCACTGCCAAATGAGACAAATCATACAGAACTGGATGGGACAGTCATCAGATTCAGCTGAAAGCAGCTTCTTTTGTTCTCTCTATTGTTTAATGTTTTTGTTAGGTAATTTGCACTATGGAGAACTCCATAGAAGGAACATTTGACCTTGATATGCACATTTAAAAATGAAAGAGGTCTATTTCCCCCCCCCCAAAAAAAAGTGGGATTGCAATGGTGATATTTTGAGAGATAGCCTGAAACAGCAAACATGGTGGCTCTGTATGTGGCAGTGAAATTCTGATCCTCACAAGTTACTTCTGTTTTCTGTGCAGTTCACAGAATTTGAACATATAAACTAGTTACCCGCTTTTGCTTAAAAAAGAGAACAAAATAGAAATTCTAAGGATTAGATTACTTTGGCCAAATTCCATATTTGGAAATCAGCAGTACAATTTGCAGTTGAATGAAAGCTGACTGTCTCTAGGCAAACTTACAAGGATGCGAGTCAGAATTAAAATGCCACATTTTAGGATGAAAGATAAAATGCCTTAAATATTCTGTCTTAGTATGGAACAGCTACAGCATTTTTCCCATAGTCTGTGGGTTAGAGGGCAAAAAGGCACACTTGGAAATGTTGCATTGTTTCCTTTCCAGCTGCCTCAGACACCTAGAGGAATTGTTCCATTACTGTAATGTTAAAACTTCATTACGGTAGGTCTGACAATACCATGTGCCAGATTTTGGGGAGTGGACAGTATGTATGTATGAATCTATAATGGTGATTTAAGAAATATTGTGATACTGTTAAAAATGTTATTTCCCCTGTCCTAAGAAAACAATATTTCCAGATTAGCTTTTATTTCTCTATAATAGTTTGCCTTCTATGATAATGAGAAAGAAAGGTAAAAAACTTGACATTGTTATCTACACTTGCTTATTAATTCTAACTAAACACATTTACTTGGCAACTAATTCCTCCCACTGATTTCATTACACTTACTATTACAGAAGTGCCTGTAAGATCCCAACCTCAGTCTAACTTTAACATTTCTACATTGAGAAGTGAATTTATAACACAAACCATCAACCACAATGCAAAGTATCCAGACCTGGAACGCTTGCATCCAAAGTATGTCTCTGTTTTCACCACACTGCTTGCAGCAAATTGATCTCATTTCCTACCAACCCTTGGAGGACCTTCACATGCTCTCACAGTTTGCGTCACGTCCAGGATTTTTCTACAGTTCCCACAATCAGGGTGCACAACTGAGTACTGGAAAACAATGGAAGACTAGAATTTCGTGTACAAAATTAATAAAAAATAATAATGATGGACAAAAATGCCAAATCCAGTCTAAACATCTGACTGATTGTGCAACCAACCATAACAAGATGAGGACATATAGGGAAAGTGGGAAACCCATATCCATGTTCTTTCCCCCATGCACTCATGAAGGATATTCCATATGCTTCTAAGAGAGGCCTGAATTCAAATAAAAAGAATGAATAGAATGAAAGAAATAGTTAATATGCTTCTGAAACAACAGATAACAATATTGATCATTCACAAATTGCTTTCATGATTTTCTTCTGTCTCTACGGTCACTGGGGGGAGTCCTCCATTGTCATTCAGTCGTTTCGCCCTGTAAGTTTCATAGTGGATGTTGTGAGTGACTTCTTTTAGGTCTTGAAGGTGGGTCCTGAAGAACAAGTGAAAAAAAAGTGAAAGAAGACAAATTGTTACAACACAGAAATACAAGAGCACATACGTTCCTGTTCTGACCCCCTCCTCCATCCAGTAACGAATGCCAAGACAAGCTTAACTGGAATGTATTTTAATAGCAAGACACCAAAACCTCAGCGGCTGAAAGCCAAGCAGAACAAACAGATAAGG